GTAAAAGCCAAGTTCTTACAGCAGCCTACAGGCCCTGCACGATCCATAGGAACGCCCTCCTAATCTCCCTATTACCACTTTCTCCTCATCCTCTGTCCTACTATTTGCCACTCTGCTCCAGCCATGCTCGCCTCCTTCTGCCGGAAGAATAGCTGCCCCAGGGCCCTGCACATGCTCTTTCCTCTTTCTGGTGTTCTCTTCCGAGGCATTCTCATGGCTCCCTGCCTCCCCTTCTTTAAGACTTTTCTCAGGTATCACTTTCTCGATAAGACTATCCTCATCACCCCCTACTTAAAATTGCAAACTTCCTTCACCCCTAATGAATTCTATATTTTCTTTTTTAATAGAATTTGTCACTTTCTAACATATTTAATAATTGGCTTATGTATTATATTAACTTTTCTTGTTCGTCTCTCCCCTCCTCCCAACCTCTAGCACCTCCCAAATGCTAGAACATATGGTCCTTAAGGGCAGGGATCCTTGTCTATTTTGTTCACTGATTCATCTCAACACCCAAAATAATATAATAAAGTTAGCAATTATAAATTGCATCTATAAAACAAGTTAAATCAACGCAAACTGAGAAATGCAAAGAAAATAGAAGGACAAAGTAAAAATGGTGAAAAAAGGTTTTCTTTTCCACAGAGTCAATAGAATATATGTTGTTTCAGTGTGATGATGCTCTTGAGAGGGAAAATAGTTTACTTACTTGTACATAAAACTTGCTTCTAAAGACAGACCTTCAAAAATTTGATGAGAGTTTTCATGCTCCATTCAAGTGCTGTCTATTCTGAAAAGGTGACAACGAGTTATTGCACATAAGAGGTAAGTTCAAGTTCCCGTATCATCTGGGTCCCTTCTACCTCCTTTTGCAGAGCAACACCCAGAATTGAGTGGTCCCTGCAGCACAGGGCAGAGCACAACCACCCTCTTTCACTTCCAGATCTTTTGCTTGTATTAATTCAGCCTAAGATGTTGGCTTTTATTTTGAGGCTATTAATGATTCTTATTATCAAATTTAATTCCTACCACTGGTAGGCTACATATTCCCCACTGTATACAATCAAGTGTGGGACTTTGTATTTTCCAAGTTAAACAGCAACTTGGTAGATTTCAGCCCACGGCTACATCATGTCAAGATCATTTTGATTCATCATATTTACTAATCATAAAATTATTTACTAATTGAGAGGGAGTATGCCCTCTGTTTCTTAAGAAATGTTAGTAATTAAAAAAAATACTGAAGAGCACAAGTAAACTCTTCTGAAAACCTCTCTTGTAATAGATGTCAGTTTATTAATAAGCACCATTGAGGTAATATGATGTAAGTAGTTATTAAGCCAACTATCTTTTGTTCAAATTACATATTTTTCTATATTAAAATATTGGCTGAGTTTTGGTCAATTTAAGAACTAGTCCTGAACAGCTATTGCTCTACATTCTCCATGTGCTAACCCAACCCTGACCTGGAAATAAATCCTATATGTTCTTGTTCAACACATGCCGGATTCTTGTGACCATCCTCGGGATAGTTATGCACCATTTCTTAATAATCTCTACCAAGATATTTTTCAAGATACCAATAATCATTTGCATCACTTTGATCCCCACTTTTTGAAGATTAGAAAATTAACTTGATATAGCTCCACAAACATTGTTCCCAAAAGGTCAAACAAGTTCAAAAAATTGGTATGACATGCTGCATTATTATAAAGCACACGGCTAGGTTTCTCTATAATTGTACTTTTAATTCTAAATCAGTTACATTTAGAATCTATATTAAACCATAAATGAGGAGCAAGTAAAAACATCTTCAGCCTTGGCCAGTTTTGCTCAGTGGTTAGAGTGATGGCCCGCAGACCAATGAGTCGTGGGTTTGATTCTGGTCAAGGTCATGTACCTCAGTTATGGTTTGTCCTGGCCCTGGTTGGGTCATGCAGGAGGCAACTAGTCGATGTGGCTCTATCACATCGATGTTTCTCCCTGTCTCTCTCTCTCTCTCTCTCTCTCTCTCTCTCTCTCTCTCTCCCTCCCTCCCTCCCTCCCTCCCACTCTAGCTGATGATAAATAGAAAATATCCTCAGGTAAGAAATAAAATAAATAAAAACATCTTTAATTGGCATTACCCTTCTAAATGGAATAGTGCTAAGGAAATAAACTGCCTCAGATACTGCAGAAATTCTGATGAAATGATCGCTGCTGTAACTAATTGGGAAACCACATACTGAATTCTTCTAGATATCTGCTCTCTTCCAATTCCTTTTCTACACTTTGTGGGGGGGGGGGGATCTGTTAGTTGAACTTTAGATCTTCAAAAATCTGACCTCCCTTTTTCATGATTTATTCATCCTTCTCCTGCCATTTGGTGTTGCTAAAGGAAAGTCTTTAAACGCGTTGGCTGTGATTAGCATTCTTGAAATGATGATCAGTTACTCAGGAACTGTGGGCTTTGTGGTAGAACACCACAGAAAGGTAAATTCACAGTACTTTGCACTCATCCACCAGTCCGAGTGCAGAATTAGATAACCTGTGAATTATTGCTTAGATTCTTAATATTTTTAGAACAAGATTTGTTTTAAATGTGGTTATTTAATGGCTTGGTGGTGACTTTGAAATTCAGAAAGACATTAGCTAGGTTAGGCTAGTTCTCTGCTGAAGCAGTCAACTTGAGGAAGTTGAGAGGAAGAGGAAGCAATCTCTGAAGCATTTTTTTTTTTTTTTTTTGGCTTGAATTTACCTGATAATTCAGAGAAGCTGCACAGGGAAGCAGTATCAGTCAGGGGACCTGTAAACCAAGCCGATCCCAGGTCTAAGGTTTAAATGCTGGTGCTTTGGGTCAGTTGCCACACTCTGCCTTGCAGTTTTCTTAGCTAAAAATTGGAGAAACACTATTTTCAGCATTGCCCCAGGATAATTTCACTCAATTGTGGAAGTGTTTTATGAACTATGAAATACTGCACAGACTCTCAGAAAAAAAAAATATATATCTTTTTCCATTCATCTCCTAATTCAATCAGGATGGTCAATTGTATACACATGTATTATTTAAACCTTGAATCACCTGTTAACTATAACCTTTGGCAAGGAAACTGGAGATGCAAATATCACAACTTCTGTATAAAAAGCTCAACTACATGATCTGAAATGCATTTTTTGTTGACTCTGCTTTTTAAAAAAATTAATTTATCGTAGCATATTTTTAAAACAATATAATCAATTAAATGTTTTGTGTTGTTTGGTTTATTTCAACAAATATAGTTTGAAAATGCTACATTTTCTGTTATAGACAAAATAAAATAAATCATCAGCAGACCATATTTTCCAAACTAAAAAAAAATATTATGTTTTTATACTATTGTCTCCCATCCATTCACTTTCTGGACCCTAGCTCTTCCATGATGCTCTTGGCCAGAAACAATTTATTTTTAAATATTATGTTTGCATTTTGATCCTTTATCTTAGCTGTAAAATTATACATAGCTAGTCTTTTCTCCTGTAAACCCATCTGTGGTTGCTGAAAAGTAAATTATTTTCTTGAAGATCAGCATTAAATCCAGCCAGATTTACCTTTTATTAATCCCCATGTGTTGCTTAGGTTGTAAGCTTTTTATCACTGTACGAGAACCACCTTTTGGCCCCAGAATCTCTTCTCTGAATTTGATTCACAGGGCTGCTCAGTGCACAGACGTTCAAATGTGACCATCTGGGTGTCTGCAAACCTGGCATCCAACCAGTGGCGTCTCAGTCCGCGGCAGTGTCTGATGCCCCCTCTTTACTACATGTAACCAGTCGTTTGTCAGAAATGCTCAACCTGCATCCAACAGTTTACTGGGGCCACGTATGCTTCCGTCATGCTTTCTAACTCTCAATTAGAAAAATCTCAAATTTAGTCATTACAAGTTTTATGGGTTGTGGAAACACAGGGGTCCTTCAAATGGACAGACAGCTGAAAAACTTGGCGGGCAGTTAAATGCCAATCAAGTGAGACTCCCCACAGATCAGTGATTTCCCATGGCTCCTGCACTCGGTTTCTGTTGAAAGGGAAATCCTTTTTTCAGCAGTGAGTAAATGGAGGATGCTAAACTTGATGAGTCATCGCAGCAGGGTCCCCTGTGGAAAATCGATGTGAAGGGTACAGTTGCCTCAGTTGTTCAAATTAGCTTTCTTCAAAATGGGTCTCCAGATCCCCGGTTCATCACTTGGAAACGGGCCAGAATGAAAACAGACTACACTTCCCAGGCTTCTCTACTCACCGACATGCTGCACGTTCTTTCAAATGCAAATGCCACCTCTTCCTGGAAGCCTTCCTGGAAGCTTGCTCACTTGGAACTGATTTTTCCGTTGCAGTGCCAAAGCACTAACTCACAGGGCTGAATGCAACCTGCCCCCGCTGTGCTCAGGGTGCCCAGAGCTGCAGCCATCTACGCATGTGTTTTTTCCTTCAGATTCCACAAAGGCACCAGTGGGCTACAGCGGCCGTGTATGCTGGTGGGCGAAGTGAGCGCCCTTTTCACTCTTTTGTGTTTGATGATCTGGTTCCTTATGCACCCGTCTTCAGGTCAGCGACCATACCTTACTTCTCTGGGTAATCCTCACAATGTCTTTGTACTGGAAGACTTGCCACCAAGAACATCGAAAGTTGAATAAATGTAGAATATCCAATAAAACTGTAGTTTTCAGTTCTGCTATGGCTGCATATGCTCACTTTAAAATAAAAAAATGTCAGCCATGCATCATATTTGAAATACAAATATAACTTCTAAGCCAATAGTATTGGTATCATTCCACTTGGAAATCATTCAATTGAAGACAAATACAATGTTTTTAACAATGAGGGAGAAGTGTTAAATGCATTAGAAAAATATTTTAATGTGGAAATTTTGGACATTCTTTAGAAACAAATGTTTGGTTATTACGATTTTGAAAATTAGATTACATTTCTATTGAATTTATTGGGGTAACATTGGTTAGTAAAATTATATAGATTTCAGTGAGCCCAGATGGCGGCGCCCGTGGACCTCGAGTTGAAGAAGGCCTTCACAGAGCTTCAAGCTAAAGTTATTGACACCCAGCAGAAGGTGAAGCTTGCAGACTTACAGATTGAACAGCTAAACAGAACGAAAAAGCATGCCCATCTTACAGATACAGAGATTATGACTGTGGTAGACGAGACTAACATGTATGAAGGTGTAGGAAGAATGTTTATTCTTCAGTCCAAGGAGGTAATCCACAGTCAGCTGTTAGAGAAACAGAAAATAGCAGAAGAAAAAATTAAAGAATTGGAACAGAAAAAATCCTACCTGGAGCGCAGTGTGAAGGAAGCTGAAGACAACATCCGGGAGATGCTGATGGCACGAAGGGCACAGTAGGAAGCCTCTAAGGAAGCTGTTCCCCTCCCGTTCCTGGCAAGGACAAGGGGCCTGTGCAGGGAAATGGCCTCTGCCTTACCCGGATGCTGTTTTATCTGGTAACCCTGTGTTTTCTACATCACCCTGAGCCCTTCAAATCCCTCCCCTCTATTATTTATCCTGGCTCTGCCTGCCGCCCCTGCCTAAGACACTCCTCCCCTGGGTTGAGTCAGGAACTCCCCAGAGAGGGAAGATGGGAACCAGGACAGATAGGGGAGCTCTGCCCATGCCCCCTACTAGTCATGGTGGTCAGACCAATAAAAGGCATCTGCATGAAATAGTTTGTTTTTGTAGTGCCTTTATCTGGTTTTTGGAGTTAGGAAAATGCTAGTCTCATAAAATGAGTTTGGAAATCTTCTCTCCTCTTGAATTTTTGGCATAGTTTGAGAAGAAAAGGTGTTACTTCTTCTTTGAATGTCTGGTAAAATTCTCTTGTGAAGCCATCTGGTCCAGGACTTTTATTTGTTGAGAGTTTTTTAATTACTGCTTCAATTTTATTACTTGTAATTGGTCTATTCAGATATCTGATACTCCCTGATTTAGTTTTGAAGATTGTATGTTTCTCAGATTTATTCATTTTTTCAATCTTGTCCAATTTGTTGGCGTATAGTTGCTCATAATATTTTCTTACAACCCTTTGTATTACCTTGTTGTAAGATGTTACTTCTCTTTTATTTCTGATTTTATTTATTTGGATTCTCTCTCTTTTTTTCTTGATGAGATTGTTAATGTTTGGACAATTATGTTTATCTTTTCAAAGAACCAGCTTTTGGTTTTATTGATCTTTTGTATTTTTTTTTAGGCTCTATTTTATTTATTTCTGCTCTGATCGTTATTATTTTCTTTCTTCTATTCACTTTGGGCTTTGTTTGTGATTCTTTCTCTAGTTTCTTTAAGATTATTTATTTGAGATTATTTGTTTCTTGATGTAGGCCTGTAATGCTATGAGTTTTCCCCTTAGAATTGCTTTTGCTCTGTCCCAGTGATTTGGGGTTGTTGTATTCTCATTTTCATTTTTTCAAGATATCTTTTGATTTCTTCCTTGATCCCATATTAACCTACTTATTGTTTAGAAATATGTTATTTAGCCTTCGAGTCTTCGTGTGTTTTTTAGGTTATTTTTTCCTTGTGAGTGATTTCTTATTTCATACCATTATGGTCAGAGAAGATGCTGGATATGATTTTGATTTTCTTAAATTTATTGAGACTTGTTTTGTGGCCTAACATATGGTCCATCCTGGAAAATGTTCCATGTGTATTTGGAAAGAATGTGTATTTTGCTGTTTGGGGCTGAATTGCTCTGAATATGTCAGTTAAACTCATCTGATCTAGTGTGTCATTTAAGGCTGCCATTTTCTTATTGATTTTTGGTCTGGAAGATCTATCCATTGGTGTCAATGGGGTATTAGAATCCCCTACTAGCTCTGTATTACTGTTGATCTATCCCTTTATGTCCTTCGAGATTTGGTTTGTATATTTAGATGCTTCTATGTTGGGTGCATAAATGTTTACAAGGGTTAATCCTCTTGTTGGATTGCTTCCTTTATCATTATGTAATGCTCTTCTCTGTCTCTTATTATAGCCTTTGTTTTAAAGTCTATTTTGTCATATATAAGTATTGCTACACCAGCTTGTCATTTCTATTTGCATGAAATATCTATTTATATTCCTGTACTTTTAATCTGTGTGTATCTTTTGTTCTGAAGAGAATGTCTTTTAGACAACAAATATAGGTGTTATTTTCTTATCCATTCAACTAAGTTGAACTTATGTTCAACTATTGAAACATTTAAGCCATTTACATTTACAGTGATTATTGATAGGTATGTATTTATTGGCATTTTATTCTTTCAACTATGTTCCTCTTTCTCTCTCTTTTATTTTTTGTTTCTTCATTTTCTTAAAGAAGACCTTTAAACATTTCTTTTTTTTTTCCCACTGGGGAGGGGGCAGGGCTGAGGAGCAGCTGCAGTGCAGTGTCAGAAAGGAGACAGAGGAATGGAGGGGGTGTGAGAGATGAAGGGTGAAAGAAGGAGAAGAAAGGAGAGGGGGAGAGAGTGGAGGAGAGAGAGGGGCGAGTGAATGAGCGGGGGAGGGAACTGGGAGGATATGGGCAGAGGGAGTGGGAGAGCCTAAACATTTCTTATAATACTGATCTGGTGGTAACAAACTCCTTTAGCATTTTCTTGTCTGGGAAGCTCTTTATTTCTTCTTCAACTTTAAATGGTAGCCTTGCTGGGTAAAGTAGTCTTGATTGAAGGTCCTTGCTTTTCATCACTTTGAATATTTCATGCCAATCCCTTCTGGCCTGAAATGTTTCTGTTGAGAAATCAGCTGACAGTCTAATGGGAGCTCTTTGTATGTAATGAACTGTCTTTCTGTTGCTGCATTTAAGATTCTCTCTTTGTCTTTAACTTTTGCCATTTTAACATGATGTGTCTTGGTATGGACCTTTTTGGTTCATCCTATTTTGGGCTCTCTCTGCTTCCTGAACTTGTGTGTCTTTTTCTTTCCCCAGGTTAGGGAAGTTTTCCATCATTATTTTTTAAAATATGTTCTCAATACTTTTCTCTCTCTTTTCCTTCTGCTACCTGTATAATGCACATGTTATTATACTTCATGTTGTCCCAAATGTCTTTTAAACTATTTTTTTTTTAAATCATTTTTTCTTTTGCTTCTCTGATTGGTTGTTTTCTGCTACCTTGTCTTTCAAATTGCTGGTTTGATCTTCAGCTTCATCCAACTTACTATTTATTCCTTCTAATGTATTCTTCATATCAGATATTTTAGTATTCATTTTTGGCTGTCTCTTTCTTTATAGTTTCTATGTACTTTTTTTTTTTTTAAATCCTTACCAAGGATATGTTAGAGAGAGGAAGAGAGAGAAACATTAATGTGAGAGAAAGACAGATCAGTAGCCTCCTGTATGTGCACTGACTAGGGATCAAACATGTAACCTATGTGTGTGCTCTGACGTGAAATCAAACCCACAACCTGTTGGTGCATGGGACAATGCTTGAACCAACTGAGCCACCCAGCCAGTCTCTATGTACTTTTTTATGCTTGTTATCTCTTTGTTTAAGTTATCACTAAGTTCCTTTTAATATCCTTATAACTATTTTCTTTTTCACTCTATATCTGGTCAATTGCTTGCCTCCATTTCATTTAACTCTTTTTTGAAAGGTTTCTCTTGTTCTCTCATTTGGTGCATTTTCTTTGTCTACCCATTTTGGCTGCTTCTTTGTGTTTGTTTCAATGTATTAGGTAGATCTGCTATGACTCCAGTCTTGGTAGGATGGCCTTATATAGTAGGTGTCTTATGGGACTCAGTGGCACAGTCTCCTTGATCTCCTGAGCTGGGTGCTCCAGGAATGTTCCTTGTGTGTGTTTTGTGGGCCCTCCTGTTGTAATTGACTTCTATTGGCCCATTCATGTGAGGAGTCTACCCTCAAGCTGGCTGACTATAAGGTTTTACCTATACCATAGTATAAGCTGCTGTGTAGTTGCTGACCCCATGAAGTAGAATTTACCTCCACACAGTCTGGTGCCTGCCAAGATCTCTTTTTTGGTATCCCACTTGTGAAGCTAATTGTATCTTGCTCTGATGTTTTCTGAAGCTAGGTATATTGGTTCTGGGGACTCTTATGAGGGAGTCTGGTGCAGGCCAATGTCTGATGCTGCCTGTGACTGGCCATGTTTGGAGCTACAAAGTTATCCACAATTTGTGGCTACCTGTGCTGGGCCTGAATGTGCACGGGAAGCCTTATAATAGCAGAAGAATTAAAAATAAAAACCACAGGGAATTATGCTGCACTGAATCAAATTGTCAGTGTTAATGATTGCCTTCATTTGCACCAATGTATCATTCCTTTTACTCTACAGCATCATGGCAATGAGTGCCATTAGGATAATATATTCCACAGAAATTCATTATTTCCAGGGCTGTGGGGACCGGGGTATCGTTCCATGACAGAGCTACTAAATTTAATTGCCTCTACCTTGCATGCAGTATAAACATTCATTATCTTAATTTGTTAAAAATATATTACCTAAAATCATAGTTAACTGGGTCATACAATTACTTAATCTCATAATATTCACCATTTTGCTCATCTTTCACAAGGTATTCTCTGAAGCAAGTTCTTGTTTTCATTTTAACAATATCATTTTATAACTTGGCTTTTTAAGATCAAAAGACCGTTTCAGCAAGAGAAGCACTCAATATATGCTTCTACATCTATTCTTGCAAATTAGCATGATGAATTTTTTTTTTATCTTAATTTACTCATTATTCAATGTTTATTTTATAATGACTCTGAAAATGGTATTTATAGCCAAGGTGTGATAAAATGCAAATTTTTTCCTTTCCTGAACATCTTTTTAAATGTCTTTGGTGTTTCTCATTGTCTTTGGTTTGCTGAATTTTTTTGTGTTTACCATTAAATTATCACCAAAATTTTCTCAAGTTGTCTGAATAATTGTTCAAGATATTTAGAAACATTAACTATTTAACCAATTTTTATTTTATCATTAATTGATTAATTTGAGATTAATTATCAGTTTTATTCACTCAGAATCCCTTCTCCAATCTTCTGATGTAATTCAGCCTGGATGCATTAACCTATATGCCCAGCCCTCTCAGAAAGAGACCTCCCTGCAGTAGCATCCTGAATGTAGCCTTTGCTTCTCCTCTCTTCCATTCTCTCACTTTCTTCACTCTCTCATTTTAATGGAGCACTTCTTGATTAGCACACCTATAAGTATGTTGAGTAAATGTGCACAGGAAATACATTTTTTAGAATTTTCATGTCAGAAATGTCTTATTTAAAATTTTCATTCGATCTATTATTTGTCTGGATATAACATTCTAGAGAGAACATTTTGTTTTCTTTATATTATCTCCTTATTCTTCACCCAGTGGTACTGATGAGCAGTCCAAAGCCATTTTATATGCCAATCTTTTTTACGTGGTTGGACCCCTCTCCCTGGAAG